TAGCTTGGCTTTGCATAAAGGACTGTTTGGCAGCAATCGTATTATTTATTATTTTAGATGGTCATGAATAAACACTTGGCATGCCTGCTAGTTTGTCACAGTGAGTTTAGGGTTTTTTACCCATCACTTAAAATACGGAACTGTTCTTTATTTAGCAGGAACTCGATTTGTCCTCTATTTTCATAAACATCCAATAGACAAATCTGCACACACGACACCAAATCTAACAACAGGATAAATTACAGGAACTATTAAAACCTTCTAAATTGTCCTGGCAGACCTAAGCAGGATCTCCTTAGCTTCGCATCAGCTGCTGTCATGGTTGCCTAGAGTCCCTGTTACCAGTGTTACGTCTCTTCCTTAGAAAGGAAAAGCTTTCAAACATAAAGACATGAGGGGGGAGAATTAAATTCCTAGCTGAACGGTGACAGTGAGGATGAGGAAAATTATAAAATCTGTCAGGGTGTCAGTGAGTGTTTATAGCGTCAGCAGGGCAGAAACACTACAGAATCTCAAGCATCAGTCCTTCACACCCTGATCATCTCCTGAGACTAATTTGGTAGGGAATATGCTAATTATTGGGGTTCTATTCAGGGTTGATGTGGAGTTTATGATCATGTATTCAATCTGTAATTAAGCCAATATAAACAGCTATTTTAAGAGTCAATTAAGCAAACAAGTATTGCCAAAATATGGCTTTTTCTTTAAAAAAATATTGTTTTTTTGCTTCTTCTGGGTATTTTATGTTCTATTTTAAGGTTTATTCAGAGAACATTTTACTGCAGACAATATTTTATATTTTGTACAATGTTTAAATAGATATTTATCAAGGCCTATACACAAAATGCCCAGATTTAGATGCTAGTGCCATGTGATAGATCATAGTACAATGTAGTGACTAAATCATGCGCATCATCAAAATTTCCTCATTGTTTGCTGTATTTTATGCAAATTATTTACTATGTATCGTTCTTTGCTAATGAAGGATTTAACCTTTATTTGGACAACTTGCCTCTTTACTAGTAGCAGCTGCATAAACTATAACTTTCTACTAGGAACCTCCCATATAATCAGGGTATGAAAGGTTTCAAATCTACGTGAGACTAGCAGAAAATGATCCCACCAGACATAAATAACGGCGCACAAAAGCCAAGAAGAGTGCTGAAAGCAATAATCTAACAATCCAATTTCTTAATATAAGGCAATAACTACCAGGGGGGAAAAAAAATCATTAAATGTCTTTTGTGAGTACATTTTCAAAATGAGCTGAGAATAAAACTTATATAATGCTCATTATATGTTAGAAAGTTAAACCCTTTATTTTTTTACCCTAATCATCATAAAAGTTCAAATATCACAATATACACTTAGAATTATATTAGGTCTGTTAAAGGCTGTTTATAAGCCAGTCAGCACCAATAAAGTTACCATCTGTTTCCAGCCAAAGCCATTAGTGGAGGAAGCGTGTGAGGTCAGCGAGTGCATGAGAAGGAGGAGGGAGAGGAGTGTGAAAGACCATGCTAGTGAGATACTGATAGGTGTGTGTGTGTGTTGGGGGTGGGGGGTGCAACATTAAGGGACAGGTCAGCCAAAGTTCCCCGTTACTGAAATGTGAGGTTTTCTGTAGTGTGCACTCTGCAGAGTAAAGCAGGTTTGTCTCTAGCTAGCTGCTTATTCAGCAACTCGGCCTCATTTCCATCAGGTTATGCACTTATTCTCAAATAAACAGATGCATTTTCTGGAAAATTGCATCATTTTTTTTAACAGTATCCTGTCTGGCAATGTGGCAATAAGAATAATTGTCTTAATGCCAAATAAGAGATCCAGATTTTGCTTTCACAAGTGAAGCAGTACGGCTGTCGTCATAGTGTTCAGCTTGATTTATGCATATAAATAGCTTTATTATAATTCATGAAGGGAGTATTACAGATTTTATGGACACTGAAAAAAAGGAAAAAAGAGATAACTATAAAACATCTTCAGTCTGCTTCATCACCTGCAAAGAGATGTAAAAAGAACAGCCCAACTAACGGATATAGTATAGGAGATAGAATAAAGTAACACCTTGATACTATCGCTGAAGTATAATTAGTATTATTTAATCTGACATAAATACTGTGGGAGCTGAAGATAAGAATATGGGCTTTCTGTTTTTTTTGTTTTTTTTCTCTAAATCATTCCTTACAATATCCTCATTGTTCTTTTTGTATGTTTTCTTTAACTTTTGCTGAATAGATTTGCATTAGTAGAACAGATACTGACCCCTTCCCAACCCAACACCCAGTATTAATGTCAAAGGGAATTAGCTCTTAGCATTATGTGCCGAAATAGTTTTTTCGAATTGATAAACTCTTATGGAGTCGGCATCCTTAGAGAGATCAGGGAAAACTAAAAATGTATATTTGTGGTAAAAGGACGCTAAACCGTTCTTTTCTCTTTGTCAGACATTAAATCAAACTACTTTTTTCTGTTTCAGGTCATTTTTGGATTACAAAAAAAAATCTCTAAAGTGCAGAATAAAGATTAAGATTATTTTATTATTAATTAGATCTGCTGCATTCCTTCATTCTAATAATTTTGTCAGCTGATTGATTTAGTTTAGACATTGCAGCAATAAATTCTGCTAAACTTTAACATAATAAAAGTGGAGCAGAGGGGTTTGGAAGGATGGTGAGCACTTTTCCCAGACTGACTTCAGCCAAGCAATAGGACACCTTCTGTGCACCACTTCCTTGTTTTCTTTCCAAGGACTCTGAAAGGGAAGTTAAAGCCAACCCACTGCTTTACATCTTCAAGCTTCCATGAAAGCTAGCAGCAGCGTGAAAAGCTTGAGGGTTTAAACTAAATAAGACGGATGGATCTAGCAATAAAGTTTGGTATTTTTTTTAAGAGTAACCCATATCTGACATACCTATATTCGGTTATATGTGCGACACAGCAAAGGCTTGATTTCTGGTGGTTTAGCAAAGCCATCTTTATGTAAGAAAACAACTTTCATTTAGATTTATGATTGATTAGACGTTGCATAAAGAACGCAGCTTTTATAGTGGAACTGGCATGTAAAATCTTCCCCACAAAGACGGAAGTAGTGTTTATAGCAAGCAGTAGCCAGAGTTTATGACTATAAGAGTGTCTTAGGTGAGTCTATATAAAAAGGAGACACGGTTAAACATTAGCAGGTTAGGACTTAGTTATACTTTCTATGAAAAGTTTAAAAAAGTATATATTTACTGAAATGCAACCAATGGGGCTATGAGCAACATCAAAATTAATAACACATTACAGCTAAACAGAGAACATCTCAGCAGTGTGTATTTTTTATGGCAAAACATTATTATACTGAGTAAATGGCAGCAGTAGCTCCTTTAAATTGTCCAAAAGTGATACAACTTAACTCAGAAATGGCTACATACAAATAAACATAAATAGGGAGTAAAAAAGAAAACAACTTAAGCGACAGCATGTCTTCTTTAACCAGGGTTAAATATGTGAAACAGGGTTTAGTGTGCCGATTTACTTCATCAATACACAGAAGGGATTAAATGAGAGATCATGAAGATGGAGTACATCAATCAGAAATGTTTTTATAAAATACACTTTATAGCTTGCTTTTTAATAAATAAAGGGATATTTTTTATGTGAAGGATGCTAAAGAGGGCAGAAATCTGTTCATAGTCCTGAAGAGACTTAAAGGCATCTTGTTTTATTTCAACAAGAACGTCAGCGGTTTCCCTGCATCTTGCTGACAAGACGGATATGTTAGAGCATCTCACTATCTCCTTTCCATCAGATGGTTATATAGGCCAAGAGACCAATTTGCATTTTACTCTACCCTTGCTAACACCAAATTTGGTTCTATGAAGACACTGATAAGTCTGGGGGGGAAAAAAAGGGGGAGAGACTCATACTGGGTCTAAATTTAGGTCACCGCAGAATCATTAAACAACCATTTCACCCCTGCTGAACAAGACTGCTGACCACATATTGCCTCATTTTTCGGAAAATCTGCCGAAAGCATAAAGTAAAATGGGCCACTTAGGCTTATTTTGGTCAAATTCTGGCGCTGGCCTCTGCAATGCTTGTCCAAATGATCAGACTCTGCAGATGGTTTGGGCTTATCAGTGTTACCAGCCTTATGATGAAATTTGGCAATCTATTTGTCAAGCAAAAGTCTAAAGATTGCTTTTGATGGAGATTTTTTAATTTGTTTTGATTGTGAAGAACAATTTGTTCAACAAACCCCATAAATATGATAAAAATCTTGCAAACGGGAATAAAACACTGCTCTCAGGATTCTTATTGCTCTACAGCTTTCCTGTCTGCATGTTTGCTTCTACCGCCATGCATTTTTGTAGCCATCTGCATAAATACACCTCAGTGGACAAATTTGCATCTATTTTTAATTGACCCAGCTCTTCATTTTCAGACGGGATGCAGCCCATCTTTACATCTCCCTCATGAATACATAAGATGGCTAAAAAGGAACTTGTGATGTTTGCTGGCCTCTTTCCATCACAAAATACTCCTTTTTTAATTAAAGTGATAACTGTTCTTCTTAGGAAAAATTAAATATACTAAATCTAAAAAAAATCTTTTAAAATAATAGAAAGGATGCTTGCTCTGTTTATAGAATTAATTCTTATCTTAGATTTTCTAAACTGAGTATAGAAAACTCTTGATTAGAAGTGATCAGGACTTAGGCTTTCGTTAATTTCATTTAGTACAGCTTTTCAGACAGAAAATGAACAACTTTAATTGAATAATTTCCTAAATCTACCTCTTAAAGTGTTAAAATAATAACAGAAATGTGAAATCTCCCTTGAATGTTTTGTAGCTGACATTAAAACACTTGAGCATCACCCTCCTTTCCAGCACCAGCAGGCTTCTCTAGTGCTTTGTAGCAGTGACAGGTCTTGTTCTCTCTGATTTTTCTTTCCTCCTTGTTAATCTGCTGCTCTCTCTCTCTCATGTCTTTTTAACCAACCTTCCTGCTGGATCAGGAAACCTCGTCCCGTCTCTCAGCTCGTCTCTCAGCAGCAAGTAACGCAGCAGTTTGTTTTGCCGTCGCAGCCCAAAAAGGAAAAGAAGGAGAGGGTCGAGAAGGAAAAGGGCGAAAGAGAGCCAGCGCCCAAGAAGAACAGTCACAAGAAGATGAGGTAAAGTGAATATGAATCTTAAACAGGAAGTTAGCATCGATTGACACAGCATATTAAACGCTCTTTCGTTTTGTTTTCTCTGCCCTTTATCAGACCAAGATTAAAAAACATCGACCGGAGCAGCGCCCAGCACCTGGAGGTGACGGTTGGAGACCTCACGGTCATTATAACAGACTTTAAGGAGAAGGCCAAGCCCACGTCCGCCTCCGCTCCTTCGTCCAGCTCCGCCTCGTCGGCCGACCATCACAGCCAGAACGGCTCTGGCTCAGAAAACACGGAAAAGGCTCTTTCGCTCTCCTCCCTGTCCCGAGGAGAGGGAAGCTCGGTCAACGGAGAGTCCCACTGATCATCCTGACTGGCAGCCTGCCTCTGGAGGGCTCTGTCCGCTGTCACTGGTGGATAAACTGTTGGTTATTCTTTGGAGGAGGGGGTTATATTTTGAAGATTTTTTTTTTCTTTGTTGTTCCCAACCAGCTGAAAGATTCACCTCAATATTCTGAAGACATGTTTTGCTGAACTGACTAAAGTCTGCTGCTAGAATATGGACTTCCTGAAAGTTTGGTCCTAATGAGGAACTTCTTATAGAAACTTAGGACAAACTTTGGACAGACTACTGGATCACTTCGAGCTGAAATTCCTCTAAAACGTACTATATGACCATCATCATCATCAGGAACTTCTTCTACCCCCTACCTGGAGATTTTCAGTTTGAGCAAATGCTTTTCCAGTCTGACCAGCGACTCAATCCCCACAGCAAACCGTCTTCTCTCAACCACATCAGTCAACTTACATAATATCTGCAGCAGGATCAGCAACAAAATGAATGTGTAAAAGTCATCTGACTGAAAATGGCACTGATTGGTGCCGTGGAATGGTGTCGCAAATAATCTGCTTTTCTGTCTTTATCATAATTTTTTTTCCCACAGAGAAACTCTACTAAGTGTTGAATAAAAACAGACGTTTACATCCTCTCAATAAATCAAGGTTTGTCTGCAGTTATAAAATATCAGTTCGTGTTTAAAGGAGATTCTGTGTTCAATCATCTTAACAGAAATTTAGCCACGCATGATAAATATACATATTTACACACAGGTCTATTCACTTTAATTCTACTCAGTTTATTTCTATAGCGCCAATTCATAACACATGTCATCTCAAGGCACTTTACAGTTCACCGGATCATACAGTCAAATTGATTCAAAGTTTTCTATCTAAGGAAAACCAGTTGATTGCATCGACTCACACTAAGCATGCTTGTAGCGACAGTGGAGAGGAAAAACTCCCTTTTAACAGGAAGAATCAGTAATGTCTACATAATGAGGCTGGTGTTTCATCTGAAAGTACTGGCCTGGAAAGGCTTACCTATTATAATTGATCACCTAAAATAACTTCAGCTTATGCCAGTAGTTTCTATCATAGAATGTGGATTACTATCCCCATGAAGAATAGTTAAAATAATTAAACCTTTTAATGTTACATTCACACCTATGAACACTGGAAAAATTATCTAGAAATAAGTAAAAATGTCTTAGATTAAGGGTATTTACCCTTAATTTGAGTAGGTAAATGAGATAGTTTGCCAATAGAAGGAGTATTTTTACTCTTAAAATAAGATAATTCAATAATATGTACTTTAAATAAGACAATAATATTGTGTTTTCTTATTTTAAATGTAAATTCTCTTGTTCCATTTTCAAAATGTATCGTTTACCTCCTCAATCCAAGAACAGATTACTTATCTACTGTAGATTTCGATTTTTTTCCCAATGAATGATGAGTGGATGGAAACTTGTTGCATCATGCTTCAAAGCGAAGGCATTCCTTAATCTTCATCACCCCAGCACTCATGAATGTCTTATTTGCAGGCTGGCTCCACCTCAGTGCACTAAAACCATTCTGGATATTGGTGCTTTTTCCTCTCCATATAGTGAAAACAATCACCATCCATAGTGAGGACACACCAGGGATTCTATTTCTTTAAATTCCCTCTCAGAGATTTATATTTCTAGACGCATTCTAAAGGCTGGATCTGTGCACATATGCAACAATTTTCAGATTTTTTTTTTTTTTTTTTGACCGGAGCTTATTTCAGCTAAGATTGCTATTTATAGTCGCTGATCGCACACTAAGGAATATAAATCTACCCCGCTTAAAAAGGTGGTAAAGAACGTAGCTATGAATGACTTTGGTACGCTTCTTGGAATCGTGGTGATCTAAAGAGAAAGCTCTACCTGCTTCAAGTACTGGAGAGGGGAGAAAAAAAGCACAAGAAGCCAACTTCTACTTGATGCGAATGTGAGGAAGAAAACAAGTGGACTCGTCCATATGAACTTTTGAAAAGAGGACTTAAAAGCAGCTTCAGACAAAGATAATCTTCCAGCAATGAACCTAACTCCACCATAACCTCTAAAACCTGTAGAATAGAGCTTTCTATAATATTCTACTACAATGTTTTGATGTGGTTATAATCATCATGTCAGTGTTGTTCAGATTTTTTTCCCCCTTTGTAGCTCACAGCTGGAGAATTGTCGCAGCATGAAGTGAAAGTCTTGATATAACGTGGAAAAGGCGGCGTCTCTTTAGTTGCTAGGACTGTTTTATGTGTCGGTTGTCTCACCACTCTAGCTGGGACTAGGTGTGTGTACTCCCAAGAATACTTTGTGGCGAAAATTTGAAAAGAAAAAGAAACTTTATCCTTTTTTTTCACATCTGAATTGCATTTTTCATGCTCATTTGTTTGGAATTGTGTTTAAATGTGTCTAAATGAGAAATGTACCAAATTAAAAACAAAAAAAAAAAACCAAGAAAAACTGGTCCTGCTTCTTATTGACGCACGGCCGGCGATTATTTCTGACTTGAAGGTGCCTGTAGGCTCAAGCTTTCCTGGAACACCACTCTCACTGCTTGTTTTCTGCACAATATGAGTAAGATCAGTTTTCATTTAGGAAACAAGGACATTTTTAATAGAAAAACTGCACATTTTCAGGGTTAATACGAAGAATCCACTGCAGAATTATGTGATAGAAGCCTTAATATTCAAAATTTAAACCTTTATTATGGGTAAAATGCTTGCTTTTTATTTATTTATAGATATGTTTTTGTCCTTGTATCAATTACACATTTTTTCCCACAGTTAATGATAATAAAATTGACCTTCAGGTCTGTTAGTCAAACGCTCCTCACTCAATAAGAGCGACTCTCTTAAAGCCAGGATGAATGAGCCCTTTCAGGGAACCCTTTTCATTTTTTGCTCCCACCCTTCCCCCAACAGAGGGTCTCTGCCTGCTGCCTGCTGCAGGAGCTGCATTAGATTGAACAGATAGCATGAGGAGAGAAGATCCTCATTCTCATCCCACCTTCAAAATAAAAGAAAAGTAAAGAGGCAAGACGAGGAGTTTTACTTGGATCATAATTAAAGCAGTAGTGATATAACTGACGCATTCAGCACATTTTTACCTTCTATCAACATCTAATAGAAATTAAACTGCATGCATCACAGGACACATTACTTCATTCTGTTCAAATCTATATTTTTTGAAGAAGTATGTCACCCATGCTTGTTATTTACTATATACAGCATTAAATCAGTTTTTTTACACGTTTTTATTTCATTTTTTCTTGCAAAGCAGAAATGACAGGGACAACAAAGCACTGATAGTGCAGAGAAACATTCAAGCATGGCATAATAAAGAAAAGCAAAACAAAGAAAAATAAATCAAATACACATCGACAAAAGAGCAAAATAAAAAACAAGTACAGATCTGATACAGAATAATCAAGAGAATGAGTGACAATAGAGAAGTCTAGGTCAGTAGGGAAACCAACTAAAAAAGTGAACAGAGTAAATAAACTAACTCAGCGTAAATTCAAAAGACCTGGCAATTGAGATTGTGCAAAGATCTGCTAAAAAACTAAACAAAAACAACTGACTGCAAACCACTAATATACCCTGGGAGAAGTGGTTAGTGGGATTGAAACCCACCGAGGATAAATGACTTAGTGGTAGGAGCCATGATAAGAACAGGAAACTTTCTTTCCCATTAGCTGATACAACACCACTAATGAAAGCACTTTTTAGTTCTTGTTTTCTTGAGATTACATCATTTTAAACCCATTACGGTGCATTAAAAAAGGGGTTCCACTGTGGCTTCTGAAGGTCCCATTTTTTCACTATTTAACTACATTGAACACTTTAGATGTTACCAAATTTGGACATTATTATAATCCCATTTTTAAAAGGTTTATGGCTTTCCTAAAAGCATTTATAGTCTGCTCTCTATAGCCTCAGCTTCACCCAGTTACACAGTAAATGCACACTTTATTAGTTCAATAATGCAAATGTAGACGTTTCATTTCATTTACAGATAGAGAAACACGGAATTTGATAGATCAAAAAACAGATTAGGATCTATTTACAAAAATAAAAAGTACAAAGATAGAAAAAATACAGTCGGTACACCAGCGGGGTGATGATAAATCCAGTGCCTAGGCGTGGTACACCCTGGACAGGTCGCAAGTCTGTCGCAGGGAAACACAGAGATACAACCATACACACACACTCACACCTAGGGACAATTGAGGGATGCCATTTAACCTTACAGTCATGTTTTTGGACTGTGGGATGAAGCCAGACATGCACGGACAGGGAATCGAACCCCCAACCTTCTTGCAGCAGGAAGCATCCATGCAACCACTGTAAAGCCCAACAATCCAACTGGATAGTGTAATGTTTTCTAAAAGGCGGGGGCGGAGCTAGATGGGGGGCCAGGGGTTGCCATGGCCACCCTTAGCCAATCATTGGCCACCCCTGTCATTTTCCCCCCTCTAATACAGACAATGGCAGCAGTAATACTCTCAAATGGAATATTCAAAACATTATTTTTTTTTTGTGGTTAATTAAACACATCAATATACCAACATCAAAGATGATAGGTACAGAATTCAAGCTCTCTTCAGAACTAGATTTTAGTTTATGTGGGGTAAAATCAATCTATGTAGCTATTAGTGCTTGTAAATATCAATTTTATGCAGAAATTTTATAGATACAAGTAGGTAAGTAATGACAATGATTGATTTACGCCCCAGAACTCAAAACTGTTTAAATATATGCATCTATTTGTTAGCATAGGCTGTAGGAAAGTATAGTTAGTCTTTGTTTAGAAAATATGGATGTTTTGCTTGTTATTTTTCCTGTTGGAACAGTGTAGATTGACGGTGAGGTTCTGTTGCCTATCCGCTTTTGGCCCCCCTCACAGTACATTGGTTATTGCCTGGCCACCCTAAAAAAATTTCTGGATACGGCTCTGCTAAAAAGAATATAAATACAAATCAGATAAATAATATAGATGATGAGGTCCTTACTAAATCGGTAAGAAATAAAATATACAAATGAAAAAAGTATTAAATTGCTCATCAATGTATCACTTCAAGAGGTAAACTCAAAAATATAAAACAATTTCCCATAATAGTGTTTGGGAGGTAGTTGTGCTTCGTTACCACCACCAGATGGCGACATTTTCCTCGCTGGATTGAGTCAGATGAGTTTTACTTTCTAAACCTCAACAGGAAGCGCTTCTTGCACAATGCGTCTAACTTCACGGCTAACTAAAAACAAAAAGAGAACGTTAGTTTCTATGTCATGACTTTAGCTCAGAGATGTGTTTTCCGACACCATGATGCGGCGTTACATGCGTGCGCTGCTCCTGTGCACGGTGTTCGCGGTGTTTTCGGGACTCTACGCTTATAGTAAGGTGTTTCACACGGACGGAAGAAGCGGAGCGAGGAGAGCTTTCATCCCACAGAGAGACACCGGCGCCAGGCGAGGAGTGCGGCCACAAAAACCCCACTGGTACAATAGGTAATTCACAGGGATTGCGTGGGCTGAGCTCAGAAATGTATTCAAAAGAAATAATTCAAAGTTATTGAACCCTGGTTTGCAACAGAAACATCAACTGGAAGTCTTTTTTTCCCCCACATTTAAAGGGCCTCTAGAGGTCGCTATTATCCCTGTTGCCAAAACTATTTATAAAAGTAAATCCATTTTTTTATTGCAGTTTATGTATTTAAATTAAAAGATCAACATATAAGAAAGAAAGGGGTGATTGGATGAACTTTACCCCACAGCATGATGCTGCCACCACCATGTGTCACTATGGAAGAGGAGGCCTACATGCGAAACCCTCTGCGGTTTTGCATGTAGGCCTAAAAGTTTCCTTTTGATCTCAACTGATCAAACCTTTTCCCACCTGTTTGGAGTTTCCCCTGCAAAGAAAACTTATCTCATGACTTTAGTAATGGTATAACTTATTATCTATTATTGCCATGTCAGTGTTTTGGTTGTTTTTTTTAAGGTTTGAGGTTAAAATTGTTTAAGTATACTTTCAAATTATTTGTTTCTCTCCGCAACAAGTACAAATAAAACTGGATTAATAT